ACACACACATATATATATATTAGTCCCCTTTAACTCCGTTGAGGAACGTAGGACCTCCACAGATTTTGCCCATCTGTTTCTGTTCTTAGCCGGAAGCTTTAGTTCTTTCTAGGTTTGCTTCTTTTCAATATCTTTAATGTCAGCTTCCCCCCTATCACTGCATTGACCACATTAGGGGTTTGCAGTCAAAAGCTGCCTTTGTAATTGTCATCTGTTCTTCTACAAATATGAGTAAGCCCCATTTCTGCTGTCAGGTCACTAAGTTGGATGAAAGGAATAGCCAGCACTCACAGGATGTGACATTCCTGTTCATTTTTATTGAACGTGCATCACATGTGACGCACGTTCAATAAAAATGAACAAGAATTTCACATCCTGTGAGTGCTGGTGATTCCTTTCATCTGTATTTGAGAATACGCAGTGCCATCCGTATCATCACTTTGAGCACCGCTATTCAGAGAGAGAAAAGTCTACAGAGTTGTATGGAGTGCAGAAGACAAACCACTAAACTTGACGTTTCCTCCAGATATCTAAGTTGGACATTCTCTGCTTTGTTCTCATTTTTACTCCTTTATAGCTAATTGTTTTGAGCAAATATGTCTGCCCCCATGTACAGACATAATTACAAATTATATATACAACCAAAGCTTTTATACCATTAGAACATATTGATCAGATCCTTTACATCAGGCTAATTTCCTTTACATATTTATCTAAAACAATAATGAAAGGATTATACACTCCCTTTATAGCCAAACTCTTGGAACAACACGAAGACTTGTAGTAAATCTTACAAAAAAATTCTAGTTTGGATATATCTGTAAAAATAAGTCAAGGCGGCTGGATTTTTCATGAAGATGTTTCACTGGTCATCCAACCAGCTTTCTCGATTCAGAAGGACTTGTACAAACATTCTCTGGGAATAAATATGGTGAATGTTGCTCCAATCCACATAATCTGTTAGTCACCAGCAGGCGTCACAACCAGATTGCATTTGCATAATTGGAGTCTAGGAGGTGTTAATAACCTGCCCAGAGAGATACGTATTCATGAAAAATACAGCAAGTCCAGTTGCCTTGACTCTGGGGCTCTGTTAGAGAGGTTTCCCCTCACTTCCTGTTCAGAGTTGCCTTGACTCTGGGGCTCTGTTAGAGAGGTTTCCCCTCACTTCCTGTTCTGGGGACAACTTTTTCACCAAATATGAAGTGAAGGAAATCCTTCAAGAGCCACAATGGTGGCCACATTTGAGTTAAGGAGAGGCTTGAATCCCGTCAGCTTTTTATTGCTGTCTGTCTTCCTGTTGCAGATTTTTCCTCACTTTCTGTTTTAGAAAATGTTGTTCTTAAAACAGGAAGTTAGATGAAATCTCTCTAACAGAGCCTTTCATAGAAGTAAAACCTGACAGGGGTTCTAACCATTCCTCACACTTTCAAAACTTAAAAAAAAATGTTTTAGCTATACTATATAGCCATGTTATTTAAATTGTGCCCTCCCCACAGAATAATAACAGTTTACTATCTGCATGGAAACATTGGTTGCTTTTCCTCTTCTGATGTCCATGACACCTTATGTTTCCTCATCTGCACATTAGAGCCCAGGCTGTCAAGAACACACTCATGACCTCCTTGAACTACAACATAGTCATCATGCTAAATTTGGTGGGAGGTGGCGTTACATAGTTACATAGTATTTAGGGTTGAATAAAGACATACGTCCATCAAGTCCAACCCATATAGAAGAGCGTTACAAAGAGCACTGTTCGTGTACAGAAATGCCTGCACCAGGGTGCTGCTTTCATACCACCAGAGACCTGCACAAAAAATTGCCTCAAGGGGAGATATGACAAAAACATGTGATGCTAATATACACATTGCCCATGGATAAGCCACTTGGAATACGAGGTCTTTGGCAAAACGTTTTAACAAAATATATAGTTTTGGAGAAGGTTCAAGGGTGGACAGCCAAATTAACAATGGGATAAAAAACCTTACATGTCTAATCGGGTATGCTTATTTTTAGGAATGCACCGATACTGGTTTTTCAGTATCGAGTATGAATACCAATAATCTTTTTTTCCGGTACTCACCGACACCTAGTACCGGTGCCGCGTGCCCCGATTATCAGGAAGTCGAGCGGTGGATCATGACCTGTCACCCGGCTTCCTGATTGGTTTGGAAGCAAGACTGCTAGCAACAAGTGAAGCCAGCTTTCTAGCCCATCAAGAAGGCGGGCCATATCCCACTGCCTGGCTTCCTGATTGGAAAGGAAGCCGGCTCCATGCTTCCTCAACACTGCCAGTCAGAGGGAGATAGCCCTCTGACCGGAAGTTCTGGTCCAGAGGTAAGTATTGGAGCATTCAGCCGAGTACGAGTAAACACCCAAATAATAGTAATGCTCTATCATTTGAATACAAACTCCAGCTAGAACCAAAATTAACCATTGCAGTGGGGCTACACCGCCCTGCAAGGGTTACCTGCTCGTTTTGGTCTAGGGACCAGAATAAAGAGGATATGCTGACCTGATCCTCGGTCCTGCAGCAGTAAGCACTCACCTCTGTCCCCTTCCGCTCTGGCGGTGGAACATCCCTCGGCATCCTCACGTCTAATGCAGGTAAATGGATCTGCATTCGATGTGATGGAGTTAGCAGGGCTTAGACCGCCAGAGCCCAGGGGAGAGGAGCCAGATGGGACTTAGGATCAGGTAAGTATATCTTCTTTAACCCAACCTCTAGACCAGAACAAGCACACTGCCAAGGTTAATTTTGTTTTTTTTCCTGGAGTTCCTCTTTAAAGTTACTCTTATATCATAGACCCCTTCCAGTCTTCTGCTCACCTGTCCCCAATCCAGCGAGCTTTTGCAGACTAGATTGCACCACAACTTCTCAAAATTGTTCAGGCCCAGCCCACTAATCCATTTTTTATTATTAAAAACAATATATTCACATTATACAAAACATTGTATCCAAACATAAGTAATCATATCCTGAGAACCTGTCTCATAGTAATAACTGGGCCAGTCTCATAGTAATAACTGGGCCATTTTTATTTAAAAAAAATGTTAAATTCTCCATATATCAATACATTATTATTCTTACTTTTGCATCCATCCACAAGTTTGTCAACAATTTCCTGTTTTATTCTACAGTTAAATACATGCAGGAAAGATGGATTGTTGAATTGCTTTTTTTTTTTTTAAATGTCATCTTACAAGTTCCTCTTACATTGACCTCTGTGCTTCAATTCTTTTCTGGCAGGTGGAAAGAGAGATTGCTATCCTGAAGCTGATTGAGCATCCCCACGTTCTCAAGCTGCATGATGTCTATGAAAATAAGAAATATTTGTAGGTATTTACAGACATTCCCTTGCTTCCACCAGCTTGCGGAGCTTTGGGCATCTGTATTCCTTGGCATGAGAAGTGCATGTATTGTCACTGCTTTAGGCAGCAGCTACTTCTGAGCTTTGCTAAGTAATCTGGATGTTATGTAAATCACAAGCCTCTTGCTTTTAATGCTTTGCTGGGTTCCAGAAACATATGATAACCGCTTGTTCTTCTATTGTAAAGCTTACATAAAATATTCAAAAGTATTTCAGAGGAAACTGGCCTGCCAAAACTGGTGCTTGCTCAACATATTCTATTATATTTATGACTTCTGGTTAAGGGTAAACACAAGAATTAAATCCTAGTGGGTAGAACGCCTTTCATTTGTATGACTGTATTAACAAAACTATATATACATATAATAATATACAGAAATGCAGATAGCGTGAATATGATTTTAAAGCATAACTTTATCAAATGAAAACCCCCTAACAGGCAGATGAACTCTGGAGCTCAATAATATTTGTATGACTCTGAAGTACAAACCTCAATTTAAATGGGTAATCTGCAGACTTCCATTCCCACTTTCTAAGGGCCACCACACTGGTTGGAGAACTTCCCCCTTTATGTCTGGACAGAGCTGTGACAAGCAGCATTCTTCAGTGGTGTAATAAACATTTATCTATATCCTTGTACAATAACTGATATAGCTAACCTACTATTTCATAAGAGTGATGGGATGACCTTATCGCTGCCCTCTGAAATATTCTGCAACAGGACATAGCAGAATGTATAGTTCACAACCAAATGGCTGAGCGATATACAACCATAATTCCGCCAAAAATTGTAAAGCTGTGTAAAATCTACATAACAGAATGCAATGATCTGCAAATCTCATAAACCCATATATTATTCACAATAAAAAATAGAAAACATATCAAATGTTTAAATTGAGAAAATAGACGATTTTAAGAAATTTTTTTTGAAATTGATGGCAGCAACACTCTTCTTCTCTTCAAAATCTCTTCTTTTAACAACACTCTGTAAAAGTCAGGGAACTGAGGAGACCAGTTGCTGGAGTTTGGGGACAGGAATGTTGCCCCATTCTTGCCTGATATAGAATTCTAACTGCTCTGTATTCCTGGGTCTTCTTTGTCATATTTTTCGTTTCAAGTTGCACCAAATATTTTCAATTGGTGAAAGGTCTGGACTGTAGTCAGACCAGTTAAGCACCTGGAGTCTTCTACTACGAAGCCATGTTGTTGTCATCGATGCAGTATGCGGTTTAGCATTGTCCTGCTGAAGGCCTTCCCTGAAAATGTTGTTGTGTGGATGGGAGCATATGCTGCTCTAAAACCTGGATATATCTTTCAGCATTGATGGTGCCTTTCCAGATGTGCAAGCTGCCCATTCCATACTTACTAGTGCACCCCCATACCATCAGAAATGCAGGCTTTTGAACTGAGCACTTATAACAAGCCTGAAGGTCCCTCTCTTTAGTCCGGGGGACGCAGTACCCATGGTTGCCAAAAAGCATGTCAAATTTCAATTTTGGCCCAAAGAAGACGGCGGTGTTTCTGGATCATGTTCAGATATTAATTCTTCTTTGCATGACATAGCTTTAACTTGCATTTTTGGATGGCACAGCAAACTTTGTTCACAGATGATTATTTTTTTAAGTATTTCTGAGCCCATGCAGTGATGGCCATCACAGAATCATGCCTGTTTTTAATGCAGTGCCATATGAGGGCTTGAAGATCACGGGCTACCAATATTGTGTTTTGGCCTTGCCCTTTATGCACAGAGATTTCTCCAGATTCTCAGAATCTTTTGATGATATTATGTACTGTAGATGATGATACATTTAAAGTCTTTGCAATTTTACATTGAGAAACTGTATTCTGAAATTGTCCAACAATTTTTAGATGCAGCTGTTCACAGATTGGTGAACCTCTGCCCCTCTTTACTTCTGAGACACTCTGACTCTCTAAGATACACTTTTTATACTCAATCATGTTGCTGACCTTTTGCCAATTAACCTAATTAGTTGCAAAATGTTCTTCCAGCTCTTCCTTGTTAGTACCACTTACTTTTTTTGAGATGTGTTGCTGCCATCAATCTCAAAATAACCTTAGTTATTTCTTAAAATTTTACATTTCCTCAGTTTAAACATTAGATATGTTTTCTATTTTCTATTGTGAATAAAATATGGGATTATGAGATTTGCAAATCATTACATTCTATTTTTATGTAGATTTTACACAGCATCCCAACTTTTTTGGAATTAGGGTTGTAGCTCTACCATATTACCCCTCTCATACCAAGGAGTTATTTGATTGCTGCAGATGCCACAGAGGAGCATGGGAGGGCTATTTTGGGGGCTATTTTGCATCTTCTGCTCTGCAGTTGTCTGTGTAACAGCAGCTTGGAAGTGATATTTTCAGTCAATATTATACCATTAAAATGGGCCTGATTTCAGTTAGCTAACCCTGTGACCCCACTTCGGTCATTTATGCATGTCTCTGTAGCATTCCTAAGGGGCCAGGTTGCAAGTGATGTAAAGCCTAACTCCAGACACATTTTTTTTAGCTTTTGGATAGAATGATGAAGAGTTAAAATGTCGGTCAGGTTTTCATTTCTTGGTCAGTCACCTTCCTCAATGTCTTGGTGTCTGTTGGTGGCTACAAGATTTCCACTAATCTACAGAAATGCCATTTTACATGTTTCTCAATGTGTCTTGAGGATAAAACCACACAAATTTAATAACTTCCTTGAGAGACGTAATCCCTCATTGACCATTGACAGGGCACTTTATAGGTCACCAAATCACCAACAGACATGGACACATTTTGCGGGGCAACAGATAATGATTTACCGAAATACGCAGACCCCCTTTGCACACAAATTAAAAAAAGTAAACATTTGAGAGACATTTTAGTTAGGACAGACCCTGGGGACAAAAAAAACAACCTTTTAAGACGTCTGAGAAAAAGGGTTGCTATAAATGCTTTAACTTCAGTGTTTGTAATGCCATGATTTGTGGATCCCATTTCTATATAGGTCATAATAATCTGATTAATGAGTACTATTTCAATTGTAATACTCATCTATGCATTTATTTATCAAAATGCCCATGTTCCTTGGATTATGTCAGCAAGACCTTAGGCAAATTCAAGTGTTGATTCTAAAAACACTGCAGTGACATTCAGGTGGCCCTTGGACTTCACTGTCAGCAGAAACCAATTAACAGATAAACCTGTAGCTGTTCAATTTGTAGAAGAATAACACAAAATACAGGAGTTGATCGGGATGGTCAATAACTGCATTCCTAGATCCAGCTGTGGTGGTGACAGAGACCAAATTCTTTTGCAAAGAAAATCCCTTTAGAGCCATACACTGACAGTGAAGCCCTGGCATGTTTTTTTGTTGTTACCAGAATAGTGCTGTAATACTGTACAAATTCAGTAGTCTTGCTGTTTTGTGCCCCTTTATTTCTTTTGTGTTATACATTTATTATAGTTTTTTTACATTAGGTTGTTGGATTCTTTTTGCACGTTTTGGTTAGTTAATTTTGTTGGTGGTTTTATGATTTGGTACCAGCCCCTTTGTTGCCTCATTTTTACTTTTATATTCCACTCCAATACTCACGTTTGTGGTTCTATTGTACTATCCTACCCCCTTTATTTACTACCTGTTGTCACTCCTGTTATCCACCATTACCCAGCAACAGTTCTCTGACCCGATTGAACAGTTTGAAGAGGAAATGTGCACTTGCACAGGATAAGCAGGATGCTGCTCTGTAATGTTCTCCCCCTGCAGCCCCTGTTATAAATAAACAGGAACCCTCTATGCTGAGTGTTCCTGTTCATTTATAACTTGTGGACATAGTGTGTTTACTATATCCACAATCATGAGTGAACAGAAAGTGATGTAGCTCACTTCCCATTCATAATTGAGGATATAGTAAACATACTCTGTCCTCAATTATTTACAAACACTCAGCGATCACTGATCACTGAGTGTTTGTACCCCACTCTCCAAGCTGACACGCTGTCACAGGAGGCTGGGCGGGGTGGTGCGGGAGGAGAGCTCAGCCTCCTGTGACAGCAATGGCTGTCTCCGCCCACAGCGCTGCTCTCCTGATCTGTGACAGGAGGCTGAGCGGTGCGGGGAGGAGAGACTCTGGCCGCTTACAGTGCTCTCCTCCCGCAGTGCTCGGCCTCCTGTGACAGTTTCTCTCCTCCCCGCTGGTACACAGAGCAGTGCCCAGCGGGGTGGAGAGAAAGAACGGATGCTCCGCTATTTCGGCCAAAAAATGGCACTTTCGGCATTTTGCCAAAAATGCAATTTTCGGCCGATATGCTTTGGCGTCCGATATATCGGTGTATCCATAGTAAAAATATATGTTGCTGCAGACTAGACATCTGCTTTAAAGTAAACGTTCGAACGGGCTTTAAAAGTGGTGCAGCATTTAGTACAATACTGTAACATTAAAGTCTAACTCAGGGCACCATAACTTCCATAGCTTAAAAAATTATCTGTACCTTGCCAGCAGAAAAGCTTTTTACGGCACGCAAGGCTTTCTTCTTGCCTTCCTGTTTACAAACTTCTTTAGCATGTACGCTGAGCTATGGCATGCCTTGTTGCTGGGATGAATCAATTCCCATGTTACATAGTATTTGAGGTTGAATAAAGACACATGTCCATCAAGTCCAACCTATTGTGTGTGTGTGTGTGTGTGTGTGTAAAGATCCCCGAGTCATCTCGTTATTAGGAGTACTTGCGTTATTAGGAGTACTTGTACCCCTGTATATTACCGTTTCTCAGGAAATCGTCCAAAAGCTTCTTGAACGATTCCACACTATTGCAAGCCTGGGAGTTACCTCATACAATCAAGATGGATAAAGATGCAGAACCAGAAGACTGGTTAAAGATGTTGCTCCGGTGAGGCGGGGGGAGGGCTTAACATGCGTTTCTCTCTGTTGTGCAATTATGCAATGTCAGCACTTTCCAAACATGTA